ACATATCTTCACAGAAACTGATATAGGATGTTACAGTCTCTGTGAGCTCGAAGCAGTCTTGTAAATCCCGCTCTGCTTCATTATACCATCTTTTTACAGTCCTTAATACAGGTTTAGCTGATTTCAGTTTCTGCCTGTAGGTCGGTATAAGATGAACCAAACAGTGATCAGAGAGTCCTAAAGCTGCCCGTGGAATGGAGTGATATGCATCCTTTATTGTGGTGTAAGAATGGTCCAGTATATTACTGTCTCTAGTGGGACATGTAACCTGCATTAACTACAAGTAGGTGTCATTAATTTTTTTGGATGCAAGTACATAGTAGTTAGTGTGTCCATTTTGTGTTGCAAAACATTTGTGCTACTATTGTGGTGGAATACAGATAAGTTTAAGTAGGGTTTAGTGGCATGGGTAGGTCTAAAGAGAACCTATTATCCATAATTCCCTTTTACATGGTGTTTGGACATAAATGTGTATCAGCAGTGTGTGTATGCAACCACCCTTTAATGATAAAAATCTTTTTTAACCCTCATTAATCCTCATCAGTCTCATAGAACAAGCCGTTTTGATTTTTTTGAGGCGAAACCGCATACTTCCAACTAAATAGTATGCGAACAAATAAGTATGTCCGAATCCTTAGTATTCATAAAAGAGTAGGCAATAATTACCTGGTGATCAGGGGCGTTTCCTCCGAGTAGGCAAGGGAGGCAGTGCCTCCTCAACAAAAACTGGATGAGAAAATTGTCGATATTGTAAAAATAAAACAATGCAAATATTACAAAATATGACATTAAAACATATAGAAGTCACTCATTTTTATCAAGTACCACTGTCCAACAGCGACACCAGCAGGTAAAGTTATGGCGGAGGCTTGTCTCCCCTGAGCCCATTGACTTTTAACAGAGACCCTAAAGCGTGCAGTGGGCTTAGGCATGCCGCCATCACGCTATGATTGGATATGATTGGTTTGTGCGATAAATCCTGCCTCTGTTTCATGGGCGTCTGAATGATGAAAATGATGGCATTAATGTGAAGACGAATTGAGACAGCATCTCTTGTGTTAGATTGATCTGGACCTCCACAAAACCTATATGAGCTGAATGCTTGAGGTATTCGCCCAATCACAACGCACTGGATAGCTGGCCAATCAGAGCACACCTCACTTTTCAGACCGATGAGCTTTGTAAAAATCGACGTGTTTCAGAAAGGCGGGGCATAGAGGAGAAACAATAATGTACAGTATGTGGAAAATAATGTTTTTTTTTAACCTTAAACCGCATAAACATATTGTATTACACCAAATACACAAAATAATGTTCTTTTTAGCACATCATATGACCCCTTTAAGTAAATCAGAAATCATGAGCATAACTGTTCGAGGAATCCTCTCGCCTCACAGCAAACGGCGCTCGCGCTAACGCCAATTCCGTCCGTGTTTTGACTTCAGTAAATCAGTTTTGGCAAATACAAACCATGTTATTATTTTTAATAGAGTCCAAAATCCAGCCGTGCAAGAAAACATACAATCAATCCGAGACGTTATCAATAAGGCAAGTCTATTGTAAAGTTGTAGAGAAAAACATTTTACATTTAAATAGCTTATTCTTAACTTTGGACCTAATGACCAATAAAAAGTGTCAAGCACCAAAAGCAGCCCATAGTAAATCTATAAGTCATCTTTAATTGAAAAATACGCATTTATATACAGTGGGTACGGAAAGTATTCAGACCCCCTTAAATTTTTCAAAAAAAAATTAACTTAAATGATTTTAGCAAATGGCTGCAATATAACAAAGAGTGAAAAATTCAAGGGGGTCTGAATACTTTCCGTACCCACTGTATATATGCGATTGTCCCATATTTTCCTTTTATGAAGTTGGCAACCCTACCAACGCCTGAGACATTCGGCCTCGCGGCTAGAGATATTCACCTTCGTGAAGAGTGACTGCATCGAAGCAGTTCGTGGTGGACTTGTGCTGAATCCGTTCTGGATGGGATGCACCCTGTTTCATGAGGGGACTTGACTCGTCGTGTGCCAGGGACCGTTCAAGATTGGAAACAGTGAGTTTGAGCCGTGAGTGATTTCAACATTGCCTCATTATAGTCGAATGGACGTAAGTGAATTCCTTTTTGAGACTTATTGACTGTGAGCGATTATTCTGAACTCGTCAGCTGTGCATGGGCACCAACGAACTGGGCCCCAACGTTAAAGTACGCGTACCTTTGTGACCGTGTTACCGATTCATATCAAATGTGCATACGGGACTAAAAGAGACCTTATAAATTGTGAATCACATTTTTTTTTTCTTTCTTACAAGTGTGTAATCTGAATTCTTGTTGTGGTTTTGGTATTTCTTACTTGCTTCTGAAGTGTGCAACTTTAGCAAGGTTTTGAATTCTCTTCTCATGTGTTGATTTGGGGTTAAAAGTTAGGAAAACAAGGTTAAGAAGCTTAGTACCAGAGACAAAGAACAATTCTGAGACTCAGAAGGTGGTATACATCTTTTATTTTCTGAAAACCACTGATCTGCATACCTTTGGGTAAAAGTTTATCTGTGTAATTCTCTATTCTTCATACATTTACATTGAGTAAATTTTTTACACTAATAGAATGACTTAAAAAATATATATAAAAAAAATATAAAAATAAACAATCTCAAACTCAGTCCAGTATTTCATTGTTTTGTTTTTTTATAGTAAATTCGTTCAACAAAGTTACAAAATTTCTGGGAAAATATAAATAAGAATTGTTTCACATAGTTCAGCTTCACACTAAATGTTGAGTGATTTATTTGTACAAGGGAACAAAGTTCATCTACAATTGTTTTAAATTAGAGGAGAAAAACACCGACCAAATTCACCATTCAACCGCCAGGAACCTAGGCTTCTTGCTTAAGAAACATTTCAATGAACCCCCAGGGTTAAGAAAAGGGTTACATTAGGCATTGTCTAATTATGCACTAATTTGTATAATTTTCACAAATCTAAACGCTGGATAAAATCAGGTTTGAAATACTTTTTTCTGACATATTAGAGCGAGAGGTTTTTACAGAGGGGATTTTAAATATCTATTTATATACACTTCATATATCAGAAAATACTGTCTACAGGAAAGAAATAAAAATTCACCCTGTTTTTAGGAATAAAATCCGTGTAAATGAACTCCTGCAAAACCCTTCAGAAAACAGATGAAAATAAAGCTGTAAAGTTTGGTGTATGTAAGTGCTGCTGAAGTAGAGAAACAAACTCACAGCCTTTCAAGATGTGTATTGAAATAGAAATCTACAGACACAAATAAAGTGCAATAAAATAAACAGTTAAATGCACTGTAAATATAAAAATGTATTAATAATAATCTGTAAAATTTACAGTAAAAAAAATGGCAGCTGTGGTAGCCAGAATTTTACCATAAAAAAATGGTAGCAACATTTGAGGTTTTACAGATTTAACTTAAATTTACATTAAAAAAAAAAAATTTCATTAACTGATATAATGTTAATTTACCAACCTCCTGAAGTTCTGAAATCTGTTTTGCACCTTTGTACTACACTGATAATCACCAAAAACACGTGGTGATGAGAAAGTAACCAAAGCTCATCACAAGCAGCTTTTCCATAAGCTGAGAAAAAAAATATTCGTATATAAGGTGCACAATGTCATTCACACAAATATTAAGCACCATCATGAAAACACATGAAACTAAAATAATGCAATAAACATGCATTTAACAACATTATATGCAACATACAACCCTAATGAACATAACTGAAACGGTTATTTCAATGAAAAATCATCAAATGTGAAATGTAACGCAGGGAATTCTGGGAATGTCAATTTACAGGGTTTTTTTCCCACTGTAAATTAAATGTTCTTTTTCACCAAAAACTGTATTTAACCGTAAAATTACATGAAATGTCCATTACCGTTTTTCAATATAGTAAGGGAGCTTACCGTAACCAATGAATAGGTTTTTATTGTAGCATTTTGACAGTTTTATTTTTTTACAGTGTGTGTATTTTAGATGTTTTCTTTCCACTAGTCTGAAACAATGCTTCATGAAAAGCCTGTTTTTGCCTGTAGTGTCTTGCCTTAAGGTACAATATACAATGCTGTCAAATAGTAACTCTTTTAGACACTTATGCTCCGTTTAATTTGTTTGTTTTACTCTTACTAGGAACTTAGGATCTGGGCTTGTAAGACTGATAATGACTTTTTGAGACATCACTGTTATAACCAGACAAAGCTGCAAACTGTTCAACCACCCAAACCAGAATGCATGCAGATAATTATAATTGGAAAAAATAAATAAATAAGTGTTTTAACAATGTTGTCTAGTTGAATCTCATATAACTTAAAATGTAGTGAAATTGATAAATTATGAGTTAAAGTAATGGATAAAACATGTTGACTGATCGTATATTTTACAGTGCACCATGTAATATTTTATCATTAATATTAAACTTGCTTGTTTGTCATAGCATCAGTAAAGATGCTGCTGATGACATCTAGTGGTTAGAAATGTTATCATTCCAAACAACATTATATGTGAATTAATAACTAAAAATTTCAGCACTTAGCAGTCCTCTGGCACTTCATAAAGTTACATGAGGCTGCACCTTTTTATATTGCAATTTATTTATTTTTTTTATTAATACTAATGACTTCACAATAGCTGAAAACGAAGAAAATGTAACAAAGTAAATTAAAATAGTAAACTGCAGTAAAAAAACAAACAAAAAACAAAAAAACACTTGAAATAAAAGAATGGCTAACATTAAAAATCTAAAAATAATATTAATTTAAGTATTGCACAAAATATTAATAAAAATATATACATTTCACGTAAATAACATTGCCCCCACATTGTCAAGTACTTGTACTTTATACAATACAAATGGCTTCAAAGCAGCAATCAGGAATCAGTAGTTTCAATTTTCACATGCAACTTTATTGTGATCAACATTGAGGAATGGAGATAATTCCAGCATGTAAATAAAGAACATCAAAGCTGATCTGAAGAGGGTTTAGGTTCCCCCATCATCATCTCTTTCTTCACGTCAGAAATCCCTCGTTCTGCCAGAGCAGGCTGAAGCTGAAATGAGCAGATATCTTAAAACTACTGATTGATTTCAGATTTCTGTACGTTTCCCTCTCTCACCTGTGACAGGAGCTGGAGGTTCAGACAGACTCAAACTTAAGGTTCATCTTCACAAGAGTCTTCTTGGGAAAAAGGACCTAAAAGGGCACACGAGTGTGAACATACGGAGAAGAGAAACGCAAACGCTAAAACCTTTAAGATTAAACAGATGCAGTGAGAGGTTGTGTAGTGATCCTCAAAAATCATGAACAAAACTACACAAAGTAAAACAAACAAAAATACCTAGATGACATTAAATACAGGTTCACCTGCAATAGTCAAACACAAATGTTTTTTATGCAGTAAATTATTGAAAGCTGAGCGCATGCATCTGTTGAAGTTTCACATGTTCAAAAACCATAAATATCCAAATTTCAACTATTGCGAAGGCGTTAATAGTTTCCCAAAACACTAAATCTGCCTGTTTGATCACACCTTCTTCATAGACCTCCACCTCACACAGAGTAAGAATCCTTGAATTTCCAGGAATGAAGAGATTCACATATCGACCCTCCATATTGTTACATGTGTAAGTGGAGGAAACACCAGCTGGAAGGCTAGAAATCACAGCGCATCTAAAGAGAGACGGAGAAAACCTCATTTAGACTTCTAGTCTTTCTTCATATGTGATTTCAGGGTTTATTTATGGATTTTAAGCAACTGAAAGAGGGTCTCACGTGGGATTGTTGTTGCCGTTGTTCTCCAAAGAGTTTCCGATGCGAATCTCCGTTCCGTTTATTCTCTCTGGACAGCAGTCTGGTATGTTTGTGATGACAACTCTGCTTACTCTGTAAATATAACCCAGATCCACCCTCCACCATGGGTTAGTCTGAATATCGGTTGAAGAACACGCTGACCATGAATTTGTGAAGCCAGGATTGAAATCAATGGCCTGATGAGCAAACCAGAGGCCATCGGTTGACGACTGTATGACGGTTCTTCCTGTTGCCAAATTACCTGTAACGAATTACAGTTTAAGTCACTTCCGTGTTGGCTTCACGAGAGAGAGCGGGAGGTTGCCGCTTGGTCGAGTCCTGACAAAGTCTTTTTTAAGGAATATCTTTTCACTTGGCGGCTGTATCTGTAGCGCCTCCGAGCAGATATTCCCCACCAGGGGTGTCATGCACTTATTATTTTTGAGGGGGTCACGAGTGAAGGGGGAGGCCTTGTCATGTGACACACAACAGCACAGCGAAGCCTCTGTCCCACACAGTTAAAATCGTGTTCCAGGAGGACCGATATTTCGGCTGGGCCTCCTCTGGTCTAGTGCCCTGGAACGTGCGTTAATCCGTCCCTAGTCTTATGTTCAAATAGCCTTATAAAAGTTTCTATTTCAGGTCGGTCCAGTCAAATTCGCCTGGAAAGAGTTTAGACCAGGTTGTTAAGCAGCTCTGAATTACCTGGAAAAATCACATAGACTGCCATTTCACAGAAAGTAACAGTCTTTGAAGTTCCAGGAATATTCACAATCACATAGCGCCCCTCCATCCCAGGACACGAGAAGCTGTAGGTTGCCCCTGCTGGAATAGAAGAAACTACAGCACATCTGGAGAAAAAAAAAAAAAAAAAAGTGAGTTTCTGTGATTTTGTTGCTCATTATTAGTATGACTCTTCACTTGTATTTTCTTCTCTTATCGCTGAATGCATTTAATATGATTAACTCTTTCTTTTTCAACACGATGTATATTATGTAATATATGTTTTACACTATTTTTATTATTTATTATTATCATTATTATTAAGCAGCTAAACAAATGTGCAATTATTTGTCATGACAGGGAAGTGTTAATTTTTAATACAAATATATAAAACAACTTGTTTTGTCAGACATCTGGGCATTGTCATACTGTGTTTTATCATAAAATCATGTAAAATAACTGCTGCAGTGCTGCAGAACTATTAACTATTACTACAACAAGAATAGCAATGTACAGTGAAAGAATTGCAAGATTTACTAGTAATTATCTACATTTGGATATAATTGCAACCGCGTTTAAAAAATATATTTTAACACAAAAATTCATATATGTTTCTATTTATCTATTAGTCTGCACTGCTTGAACATCTGTTTAGAGAAATTGTATTTTTCTCCCATTCGAAAATGAATCCCGCATTCATGAGGGATGTATGTGTCACTCCCGAAATGTAGGGTATGTGGCTGTTAACAGCACAAAAAAAACCAAAAAACTTTTATTCCAATTCTGAAAGGATTCTATTTAGCCTAGAAAGTGCAGATAGTCGTTGCTTTAAAAAGGTGTACACTACTCGTGATCTCACAAAGTTCTTTTATAATCAATGAACCTCTTATTTACATCGTGTTACAGTGAGAGGATTCGCAAGCGTGCAGGAAAAAAAAAAAATCCGGTGTTTAGAGGTGAGTGAAGGCAATGGCCAATCACAGGTGTTCAGGAAATCAACAGATGTCTGTGATTGGCTACATTGCTCAGCACTACGAAAACACATTGCAAATAGAATCTTTCGAAGATTTCCAGAGCCCAAACACAAATGTACGGAGCCCCTAAAAGGACATGGTAGTGGAAAAAAATCTTTTTTTTCAAATGTTTTGCGTTCCCTCACAAAACTTTTGCGTTCCGTCGCAAAACCAGTCGAGTTCGGACAAACTCTTCCTATTTACTTTGCAGCTTGCAGTGGTTCATACAGCTCTGTATGTTCACAATGCAACGGTTCATAGAGTTTTATTTTGAATTTGGACTCAAGTATAAAGCAATACAGTCAGTGGTTAGTTCAAGGAACGGTTTTGGGACATTCTAAAATGCTTAATGTGGCTTAATGTTTTAAAACAGTGACATTGGAGGACCAAATTCTCGCAAGTTTTGCGAGAGAATGCTATTTTTTTCCTACCACCCCCAATTTTTTCCACCACCATGTCCCTTTAAGGGCTCCATACAAATGCGCACTGGAGCCTTTACTAAATCTGTTTGGCCAATATGGATGTATGGAAAATGGATGAGTGGCTTGAGAGGGTGAGAAAAGTGTCAATTGCGTGAGAGTTGGCGGATCTGCGGTAATGTGATCACTGGAGGCGAATTGCCTGTGTGACACGAGCTGCCATTTTAGAAAGATATAACATCAATTGTCTGATCATTAGGTAGGTAAACCAGTGTTTCCTCCACCGATCACTGCCATGCAAAAAGAAAAAAAATAAGAAAAAAAATAACAATTTAACTGATCTTTGAATGTGAGTTTTACAGTCTGTATTGAATGTGATGGAGTAAAAAAGCCATGCACTGTGAAATAATAGCGTGAAAGTCTTTGTATTGCAATAAACATAGCCTACAACATGACCAACAAACAAATTACTCTTATGATCTGCTTCTTTTTAGTTAAAAACACACAAGCCTAGTCTGATTCGGGAACAAATGACTTGTAAAAAAAGACGAGAGTGACCAGTTGGAATCAGTGAGACAAATCCTTCACTGAATCAACATCCCACTCACTTACTGAACTGCAAATACCACTATTAACATAGTCTAAACACCTGCAAATAGTCAGTATATGAAGCACACACAAACATACATATGTATGCATGAAAATACCAAAAATCTGCATATAAGAATATATCAGAGAGACTCACACTGGGTTGCTGAAAACATCTGAAGAATCGTTTCCAATCCGAATCTCTGCCCCATCTATCCAGTTTACACAGCAGATGAATCTGTTAGTGATGGTCACTCTGTTCACACTGTACGTCTTCTTCAGATCCAGCTTCCACCACGGGTCACTTTGTTCTTCTGTACGAGTACAGACGTTGTTCAACCCATCGAGAGCGTTTTGGGCACGCCATTCATAATAATCGCTGTAAAATGTTGTCGATTGATTGGCTGTTCCCCAACTTGCTATGTTCACTGGAATACGTTCAAGAGAAAACCTTACTTACAATTACAATTGTGACTCTGGAGCACAAAAGCAGTCATAAGCAGCACAGGTATATTTGTAGCAATAGCCAACATTACATTGTATGGGTCAAAATTATCCATTTTTCTTTTATGCCAAAAATCATTAGGATATTAAGTAAAGATCATGTTCCATGAAGATATTTTGTACATTTCCTACCGTAAATATATCAAAACTTAATTTTTGATTAGTAATATGCATTGCTAAGAACTTCATTTGAACAACTTTAAAGATGATTTTCTCAATATTTAGATTTTTTTACACCCTCAGATTCCAGATTTTCAAATAGTTGTATCTCAGCCAAATATTGTCCTATCCTAACAAACCATACATCAATGGAAAACGTATTTATTCACTTCTCAAGTCAAATTCTTTTGTTTAAGGGTGTCTAGATAACATGAACCAACAACAACACATTCAATTATAGTTTAGGGTCTTCTGTGTTTATTAAGTGCTTCTCTGTCTGAAAGATGAAGCTGAAAACAGACTGTAGGTCATTAAGATACGAGACATATCTTACCCAGTAAAGACAACAGACTCTTGAAGAAAACTCTCATGTTCATTTCAGGCGATTCGTGATTCTTTCTGCGTTTTGTGCTCCAGGGTCACAAATATGTATAGCCCTGCTTGGCTATTGGCCATGTGTCTGAAAATATTTCACAGCAGCACAAATTCCCTAACAAAAGATGTAGTAGTGTTTAATTCACAAAATCTCACCTTCACTTTCTGCTTTCGTCTGAACTGAGAAAAATCCTTGAAATGAGAAACACAGAATGATGCTCATTATTTAGCAACTTAAATGGATTGTTCTTATGAGCATAAGCCTTTTAGCTTCTCAAGTCAAATTCTTTTGTTTAAGGGTGTCTAGATAACATGAACCAACAACAACACATTCAATTATAGTTTAGGGTCTTCTGTGTTTATTAAGTGCTTCTCTGTCTGAAAGATGAAGCTGAAAACAGACTGTAGGTCATTAAGATACGAGACATATCTTACCCAGTAAAGACAACAGACTCTTGAAGAAAACTCTCATGTTCATTTCAGGCGATTCGTGATTCTTTCTGCTTTTGTTTGAGGAGGTTTGAATGAATGTTGTTCCTGGGAGAAATATATATGTTCAAGTTACATCAGAGTCACATGATCCTAGTTCTCCTCCCACTTTCCTTTCGGTCTGGAGCTGGAAAAAAATTTGTTTACACACACACACACACACACACACACACACACAATAATAAATAAATAATAACAATTAACACATTCAATTATAGTTTAGGGTCTTCTGTGTTTATTAAGTGCTTCTCTGTCTGAAAGATGAAGCTGAAAACAGACTGTAGGTCATTAAGATACGAGACATATCTTACCCAGTAAAGACAACAGACTCTTGAAGAAAACTCTCATGTTCATTTCAGGCGATTCGTGATTCTTTCTGCTTTTGTTTGAGGAGGTTTGAATGAATGTTGTTCCTGGGAGAAATATATATGTTCAAGTTACATCAGAGTCACATGATCCTAGTTCTCCTCCCACTTTCCTTTCGGTCTGGAGCTGGAAAAAAATTTGTTTACACACACACACACACACACAAATAAATAAATAATAACAATTATTATTAATATTTTCTTTAAATTATTATTTTTCTTATTTTAGCAACAAAACAAGTGAACACCTTTTCACTGAAAAATAATGATAATTTGTAACTTCAGTTTAGTGATTTATGATATCAAAATGTCAGTGTTATTAAAATTGTACATTATCTCTTTGGCAGACACTTTTAATGTAAAGGAAGTCAAAGAATGAATCATTCATGTTGACATGCTTACATTGAATATCAGGTGTTAACAACAATGGCAAAATCCACCAAACTGGATTGGATTGTCACCTCTCTTGAAAGAAAACTGAGGGACAATCTTCCTGCCCTGTTGAAAAAACCAGCATATGCTGGTTAGGTATGTTTTGATGCTGGGATGCTGGTTTAAGCTGGTCCTTTGCTGGTTTATGCTGGTCCTTTGCCAGCACAAACCAGCAAAAGAACCAGCATAAACCAGCAAAGGACCAGCATAAACTAGCAAAGGACCAGCAAAAGGACCAGCATAAACCAGCAAAGGACCAGCATAAACCAGCAAAGGACCAGCTTAAACCAGCAAAGGACCAGCATAAACCAGCAAAAGGACCAGCAAAAGCAGCAAAGGACCAGCTTAAACCAGCAAAGGACCAGCATAAACCAGCAAAGGACCAGCATAAACCAGCAAAGGACCAGCATCCCAGCGTCAAAACATACCTAATCAGCATATGCTGGTTTTTTCAACAGGGTGAACTACATTAAGATTTGTATTCACTTTTGTATTTAAATTCAGTGGCAGCAAATTGTACTTAAACTCTGTCGTTATTCCATGTCGTTATATTCTGTATGACCCAGTGTTGGGCAGTAACGCATTACTTAGTAACGCGTCACTGTAATTTGATTACTTTTTTAGTAACAGAGTAACTGAATTGTAGACATTATGAAAGATTCATCATGCATATATTCATTGTGTCATAAACTGTAGATGAATTGAGATGTCATCTTTTTAGAGATTATAAAAGCAGCGCTATTTGCTGGTATTCTGTCATGCCAAACCATGCACGCAGCAGCCTATGCTTGCTTTAGTTAAAAATAACAGTGTTTTTTTAAAGTTGATGCTTTAATAACAAATATTTATCGGGAGCCTTTAGGCTGGGATTTCATGTAAATTTCATGGATGTACTCACAGAAAAAAGTAACTAGTAATGTAACTAATTACTTGTGAAATAAAGTAATCAGTAATTTAATTACATTTTCAGAGTAACTTGCCCAACACTGGTATGACCTTCTTTCAGTGAAGCACCAAGGATGAGTTTTTGAAGCGAATGGGAACTGAAGCTGTACATTTTTTTTAAATAAGGGTGCCACAGAAGTGGTTTATATGACAGTTTTCCTAACCTTTATTTGGGCGTAGGCCTACTGCATGTTGTTGCCATCTTGCGTGTTGCACCAGCCATGTTTAAATTGGTCTTTTCTTTCCCATCTTACAGACTTCTCAAGATCAACACACATTTGCATTTTGTTGTTTTATGCATGGGGGCTGCCTGTCAGAGCTTCCACAAACACCGTCCTGCATCTGGTTTCTAGATGACGCAAAACTATCTTTAAAATGTGAATATTCACATTAGGAGTTCATATAGCAACGCAGTAAATCTTTGCCATTTGCATCTGCGTCTACTGCTGTTCACTTCTTAGAATGTTGCTTGTTTTTCTTGTTCACAGCAAGTTTTCTTTGAGTCGTTTGCTTAAAGCATGTTCCAGAAACCATGAATGTAAATGTAAATGTGAATGTAAATGTTCCGAAAGTGTTTATTCAGAAGAGCACGAACATGTGAGGAAGCACACCATGACTGCATCTGTACTGGCGTCTTGGGGTTTGAAAGCAACCAGGTCATCATCATGTCTTTTACATTTTTCATGTTCAAACTTCACCTACATTAATCTGCCACAAATCTTACTTGCTTACAAATGTCTGCTTAGCGTGGTTAGATCATGCCTCCACACCAGATTATTAAGATCCAGCCCCGGACGCCAGATCCCATCAGAAAATATCTGATACCAAAACCTGGGTTGCTTCTGTCATACCGCATACCAGCATCAGTTAGGGGAAATGTGTGTCTCTGACTGTTGTAGTATTATCTAAAAGGTATGAACAACATTCAGTTGCAATCACTTGGCATGCTTCACTCTGTCATTAGGTACAATTGGATTTTCAAAAAACTCACTGTGAAAACATATTCTTTACCATTTCATATTGCATGTGCTTTCACCTTTTCTAACTTGGACACTTTTGGCCATTTGTCATCTTTAGCATCTCTTGGCGTCTCAGCAACAGGGTTTCCGTGCCCTAGTATTTACTCAAGTTGTCCGACAGGTTTATCAATTTGAAACTAGAATTGTCAATTGGAGTGCACCATTCAAAATCAAATCAGATAGTGTTAATGTATATTTACATTTTTATATGTTTAGAATATCTAAAATTACTAAATTATAATTAATTATAATAATATAATTAATATATTATTATTATATATATTTTGACATTTGACAAAAGTCTTATGATTTTCATTTCCATTTCCAAAGTAATTAAATAAGCGGTTTTCAACAACTTTAAAATACATGAAAGTATGGATTTTTTTTTTTTTTTTTTTTTTTTTTTTAAATACACAGATATTAAAAAATGTTAAGTGCCCATATTTATACACAAGGCTTTTTTCAGATAAATTTGGACACTGCAACCTCAAAGATGTACATGCATTTTCATTTAGTTTGTGCAGAGAATACAAATGGTTACATCAGGACATTGTACAGTTTTGTTTTCAATATAATGGTTTCAAAATGTAAAAGGACACACTAGCTGATATGCTTGTGAACACACTAAAGAATCGATATTAAATTGATGCGTTGTAGCCAAGTATGGAGTGATCAGAGATATTCAAGATGTTAAAGCCAGTCTGGAATTCACACTAAATAAAGTGGATGGATTGATGATTGGATATAAGGATTTTGAGGTTAAGATAAGGCAGTTTGAAAAGCATATCATCAAATCAAAGGAGGAATTGGATGGATCTCGTCGAACTGGATTATGTCGAAAATCAGACGAGGAGGACAAATATTATAGTGGATGGGATCACTGATGAAAACTGGATGAAATCGGAGGTGAAAGTTCGGGAAATTCTCTCAAGTAAATTGGGACTAGATGACTCAAAAATGGAAAAATATACAGACTATAATGTCTTCAGCCAAGAAGCTAAAGTGTACAACTATTTTTATTAATGAAGGCTTTTCTGAGGCTCTTCAGTTGAGAAGAAAGGAACTACTGCCTAAATTAAGAGCTGCACGTGATTGAGGTGAAAGAGCCATCTCGAAATATGACAAGTTAGTCATCGTGCCCAGAACTGGAAATATTCGAACATAGACTCTGTGCAAATGTAGAATTATTTTGTAACTATTACCATCTCTTTGATCAAGGTTGTCAAAGAAAGGAGTAATTATTGCACATCTAAATATATGTAGCCTAAGGAATAAAACTCATGAGGTGGCGAGAATATGTGTGTTTCAGATAACGAGACACATCTAGACCCAGCTATGAGTAATCTTGTGCTCATGATTAATGGCTATAAATTGTATAGGAAAGATCGGGATAAATATGGCGGTGGAGCAGCTTTTTATATTAAGGAACATTTGGAGTGATTTTAAGGAAAGACCTAATGAACAGTTATATTGAAGCCATTTGGCTTGAGATTTCTATTCCACATTGCAAACCAATTTTAGTTGGTTGTTGTTATCGGCCTCCTAGTGCTAATGTGCAGTATTTGGATAGCATATGTGAAACTATGGATAGGGTAACAGAAGAAAATAAGGACATATTCTTACTTGGTGATTTTAATATTGACTGGCTTTCAAAAAACTGCTCATTGACAAAAAAAAGTTAAAATCAATGGCTGATGTTTGTAATCTTACACAGATTCACAGATTACTAAACCGACAAGAATTAGCACGAAGGTTAACAATGTTAGTACTTCTAGTTGCATTGACCTAGCTGACTTTGTTTCTTCAGTAGAACACAAACAGAGATTTTTAACTCAAACCGTTGCAGTCTGTCAGTCATATAATGGAAGTGAACGGAAATCACGGCTTTGAGAGTCAAAAAAACATACACAAACAAAACCAAATTAAACCCTGGTTTTCTTGCTTCCCGGCCGTATACACTTTAAGGAACTGAGAACTTCAAGGCGGCAAAGAGATATCGAGGGACCAATTGTTAATTTCTAACAGACATAGATATATATATATACGTAGATGCCTCATTAGTGACTGTTTCTATGGGCTGCAGGTATCTACTTATATATATATCTATGTCTACTATGCCAGAGCATGTACACGCGCCGGAATGGATCCGCGAATGATAGATAAAGTGCACAGGACGGACATAAGCCGAGCCGAGCGACAGATAGAGATGGCGGATAAAAAACAAAAGA